AACGTCATAGGAAGAGCCACACACGCATTGGGAGGGCAAACCTTCTACTGGCCTATCATACCTTAGAGCATTGGCATCTGTAAATTCTTGTTTATTGAGATTGAAACCATTTGCCCTTATCTTTAACGTAGTTAACCAGTTCGAGGCCCCCACCTCCTGCGCTATAGCTACTTTTTTTTCAAATTCTCTGGTACTTGCAGCAACAGTTGCTGCAACTTATCACATTGGCTGTGCTGTCGTTCTGTCGTAATGGACCTTCGAATCTTGATTACTTCACTGGTATCCACCTCCCTTGTTGCGTTCTGAGCTATTAAGTGGACCGTGAGGGCTGCCGTGAGCTTAACTGAGTTTTGATGTTCGGTGGCAGCAATCTCCTCTGGATTGGTCAGTCCCATTCCTCCCAGTCTCGGTGGTAGTGCAAGGAGTGATCTTTCTACTACTGCTACTGATAATAATAATATCATGTGTATGGCTTTAGGTTTTATGTTGGTAGAACTGTTTCTGTCTCTCTGTGTGTCTGTCTGTCTGTCTTTTTCTCTTCCTGTCTCTATCAATTTGTCTTTCTGTCTGTCTACCTGCTTTTCTCTTTATCTGTCTGTCTGTCTGTCTGTCTGCTTATTTATTTCTGTTTGTTTCTCTGTCTTCCTGCCTATCTGTCTCAATTCATCTGTCCCTTTTTCTATATCTGTCTGTTTCTGTCTCTCTGTCTGTCTCTATCTGCCTGTCTCTATTTGAAAGGGGTTAATATTTTCACTTGATTCTCCCAAACACATCTAAAATCATGGTTCAGTCTTTACCTATTTTTATCTCCACTTGATAACATGTAATTGAATAATCCCGCATTTATATTTTTTTTCCCAGGGTTGAAAGAGAAAACAGACGGAGTAAGCAAGGCCACGGTCACCTGGTAATAGTATGGATGTGTTACTTCCCACTTATCATCCTGTGAAAAAAATTATGTATCTATATATTTATGCGTGTGTGTGTGTGTGTGTTTAAGAGTTTAACGTTGTCTTAACACGGATTTTAAAACACACACACACACACACACACACACACACACACACACACTGTCCAGCAGGAAACTTACCACAGTATTTTACTTCCTGATCAAAAAAAGTGTAGTATTATGTAAAGATTAAACATCCCAGCTTATTTCACTTGACGATTACTGAAGACGTTACCTGGGGGCTAACTTTGAATTGTAACAGTTTATTTAGTAAAAAAAATACAGATACAGAGTGGATAATAATAACAATATTAACATGGCTGAGCCAATTGAGAACCCGAGCTCTCTTTGAGGCACTTGATATATACTATACATTTATCTCAAGGAAGTATTATGTAACATTTAGTATCATGTGGAATAGTACAATAGCATGGTAGTAATAAGTACAGGTTAAGTTAGGTTAGGTTAGGTTAGGCTAGGTTAGGCTAGCTTAGGTTATGTTAGGTTAGGTTAGGCTAGCTTAGGTTAGGTTAGGTTAGGCTAGCTTAGGTTAGGTTAGGTTAGATTAGGTTAGGTTAGGTTAGGTTAGGTTTGGTTAGGTTAGGGTTTTTAATCTTCATATTAAATGTGTCTAACTTCCGACGTTTTTATCTTTCTTACTTTCGTGTAATAAAAAAATAACGAAAGGAAAGAAGGAGGAAAACCATAGAGGAAAATTATGTAAGACAAACAAGGAAAATGACCAGAAAATACCAAGTTAACAAGTAGACACAATCTCACTCACATACTCGTTCATTATCCTCAACTATCATTAACGTTTACATAGCGAATGGTTGACCCTCATAACACGAAAACTTGAGATGCACCCAAGAGTTTCAAAACATTTGTTACAGTACCAGTGATAAGGCCAAGAAGTACCATAACTAGAGCGAGTCTCAAGGTGAACAAAAAGTTGTACCTCCTTGGGGCATCATCAACAGGTGTCTACAGGGCTTTCCTCGAATTTTGGATTTCACCTGCCTTGGTTTTGTTTCATCAGGACGAAAAGTGATTTAATATGAATAGTAGTAGCGAGACTAAAGAAAAAAGAGGATGTAAGTGAAGAGGAAACGGGTGAATAATAGCTGGATAATGAGAGAGGCAAGCAGGACGACTTGGCAACGTGGCGCCGCCCTTGAAGTCCGCCAGTGAAAGTGGAGTAGTGTTGTTGTGTGTTAGTCTTCAACCAATTTGAAGAAACTCTCTACTTGTTCTCAGATACTCTCAGATAATTAAACATTTGAAGCTTCATCGACAAAATGTGACTGGAGACAGCAGGTTTGAGCGAGAGCGCCTTGAGAAGTGTATAGCGTAAGGAGGAAATAGTTTACTTCCGAGTTGAGTTGCGTCGGAGGGTGGATCACAGCAGGGTAGTCGAAGCACCGCTCTTCCGGTATTGGGCGGAGCTGAACGCTGTCTCTCGTGTGCACTTCGACGCCCGTACACACGCACGTACATGTACACACGGCAGCGGGGGAGGAGGCAAGTGGCCGTAATGGCCATATCCTCGACGGTGCAGAGGTCGCGGCTGGGACATAAATACAGCGATGGAGGAAGGTGAGGCATTAGTTCCATCCAAGACACCAGTCAGCCCACAAGCCAGGTGCACAGAGAATCATGGTAAGCTGCCATATCCTCCCTCACATACTTCATGTCAACACACACTCACAACATAGTCTCTCTTACTTATCCAAACTCATATATTTCTATTTTTCCTGTGTTGCTATTGTAAAGGAACAATACAGCAACTAACAGAAGGCGATAAGGATACTTTAACTTGATTAATTCTTTTCTCCAGTACGCCCAAATATTTACATGGCAATCAAGAGAGTCATCTTGATTAAGATATTGTGTTTGTCGAAGTGAAGGTTATGCGAGAAGTGCCAGTCCTTCCTCATGAACTGATCATGAGGCAAGTTAGTGGTCCGTGTGAGTCTCAGCCGAGGTAAACAAACACCAAATCCTTAGTCAAGTTACGCGTTCCTTTCACACGGACCAGATACCTCACGATTCTGTCGTTGTGGGATCTTTAATCATCGTTTCCTTAGATCTAAGCTTTATGTTGAGTGTTATACGAACGATCATGTCATCCATATAGTTTTAAGCACCATTTCCACCGTTGTTATAGATTCAGTTTTCGTATTGATTCCTTCCAGAACGATTCAACCAATTTCAGTAATTTTAAACAATATTTCTGTGGTGTTTAAAATATCTACGATTCATCCATCAATTGAATTACGAAAACACCGTTTCTGTGAACCTAAATAGATGTTATACTAATGGCTTTACACGATCAGGTAATTTATGGTATATTTAAACACAGTTTCTTTGACTTGGGCCTTAACATTATTACCTATTTGTTCTTTTTCATAAATTAATGGTAAGTTGGAAGACCCTTGACTGATTATATATTGGTCTTGACAGTCTTGCAGGATAATGAGCTTATTAACAATACTAATATAATGCTAAAACGAAACCCACAAAAATAGAGCGGATTTTAAACAGTTGATAAAATAATTAATAATTAATTAATGGATGTGTTGCACAGTATGTACGGTACAGTAAGTAGCTCAGCAACGTTCACAACAGCTCGCACTTCCTCCCCCCAAGTATAAGGAGGATGTTTCCTTGCGTGAAACTCTTGAGACGCTTCCCCCTGCGCCGTGTGGTCCATCTTCCTTATCACGTCACGTGTACTGCTTGGGTATGAGTACCTACAAACACATAATATTTATTTAATAAAGTCTGCATACAAGTTTAAATTCTTTCAGCATGTATACAATATACATACAGTGTAGGTATACAAGCAATGTGGTACCTAGCCAGTGCAGGTATACAATCAGTGATAAACAGTAGGAAGTAACACACACGCAGACACACTTCCTCATTTAGTGTATTATTTGGGTTGCGAGTCGACCTTATGGGTAAGGTGAGAGGAGGGAAGGAGAGCGTACGTACGTGAGATCCTTTCTTTATTTCCAAATAAGTTTAGATTTAGATATAATGTACAAGTATTTCCATACAATACAGTGTTTGTTATAAAGGCTCTGTACTAATACAGTCTTGTAATAATGAACAGGTACAGTGATTTTCATACATCTGTATGGTATATTATCTTTGATATGATAGACTGCAATAGTAAGCTTATTTGTTGTTCCGCATCTTCACTATTCCGATTTCTCTACTAAAGCCAACCTTCAAAAGCGTTTCACACTTATGTAGTTTCCGAGATTCTCGTGCAGACACACACACAAACACACAGACATACTTCTTTGGTTTATATATATAGATAATTTATTTCTTTATTTATTTCACGCATTACGACCCGGTGTCAGCAAACCTGGTAGTGAATGAACGACTCAGGGAAGTCGTCCCCCCCAACCCTTCGAACAATGTTCGTTCTTCACCACAATCAAAGTCTCCAAATCTCCTTTCGTGTTATGAACGATACTCTCTCAGTTTTGCAAGTCTATTTGGTAATTGTGTGATAGTTGTCTGTTAACTTGCACTTGCAAGTGTTTTGTGAGAAGTATGTAATTGTTTGTGGCAATTCTATGTTTGTCTGAGGTAATCCTGTTATTGCTGGTGTTCATTTTGTATTTTTTTGGGTATTAACTTTGTGATTATCTCTCCCACCCCGCCATCATCGTCACAGTGGAAGGTTGTATTGCTAGTTAGCTTCGCGAGTGCTGTTCTGCAGACAGCAGAGGCGCAGAGCTTACCCTTCCCGGGCTACATCTCCGCAGAGAGTGTCAGGTACGTATCTTCCCTGTATCCTCTCCCACCCCCCCTCCCAACAGATCCTCCTCACCATCCCAAGGAAAACGTATCAACTCCCTATGGCTCATCCCAACTCCCTCCAGGCTGTTATTTCAACTCCCCGAAGATTTCCTTACAACTCGGTGTAGATCACACCCCAATCGCGCTCTCATATCCACCAAAACCTCTTCCTCTATTCCTCACATCTCATCTGAACTTTCCAATCTCCCTCATCAACTGATTCATGATCCTCTTAATCAACACTGTGTGGGTCAAGGTTGGTGGCAAGAGCTCGGGCAAATCGTCTACACCCGCCCGAGGGGGGCGGGCACTGTTTTCACTTAGACGGAAGTTAAGGGGACTTCTTTGTGTATACAAGTTGCTATTCATATGCAAAAATATATAAATACACTTATTTATGTTCGTGGTTTGGTATATTTACAAAAAAATCTTTACCTAATAGTTTTGGAGAAGTAATAATTCTCTCAGAAGCCACCAAACTTGTTACATGAACACAACACCTCACTACAGTGGTCTGTCTGTCCGTCTATGGGGCTTGTCCACCCCTACAACTTCCATCACTCAACCTCCATCATCCATTTATATGTATCCACCCTTGCAAAAATACCACACATATCTTCTATCCCTCCTTAATGCCCATCCACCCCCTACAGCACCCAGATCAAACCTCCAACATCACTTTATACCTATCCACTCTTACAACCACCCACACCCATCCCACCTTTTCCTATCCACTCTCCAACGACCCCTTACACCCTGCCATCATTATTCGCCCCTTCATCATCCTACCTACAGGAGGTTCACTTGTACCCCTCCTCTTCTTCTCTTTGTTTACATCCTCGTATCCTTTATTTAAACTATCACATCCTTATAGAACCTCTCTCTCTCTTTTTTTCTCTCTCTCAAAACTCTTCCCTTACTACAATTTACACCTTTTATACTACCGTTTTTGTGTTCCTTAATAGTCATTGCCCTCACCTGTCCACCCTAAACCGAAAAAGACAGACGTCCTGTCATACCCTTCACAGCATCCTCTCTTTCTCTTTCCCTCGATCACACCTCCCTTAGTATCCTGTCTTGATTCGCTCCCAAATGATGGTCATGAGAATATTCTTATTTCCGGATGGTTCTTAGCTAATATGTTCTTCCTTTATCTTTCCAACAAAATAATGATTATTTGTCTCAACTTAAGTGAAAATGAAGTAGATTTAGACGAGTTAATTATACAATAATTCACAATGAAGTGTGGTCCTGTTTTTGATTATTGTGAATGACAATTGATTTGCAAGAAACATTCACGCATGCGACATACTTGTTCACGTCATTCAGTGTATAGCTAGAGACATGCAGCAGAGGATAGGCACGAGTCTGTACTTGTTTTTAATGGGGAATTATAGAAATCGATGGAGTGGTTACCATCCATTCTAGACACTAAAATGATCACAAAGTTTTGGATACAACTCATGTAGTGTAGAAGGCCAAGTGGCTTTGGGTGCGTTCATGACCTCTACAACTCATACTGTAGCTACACTGCCAGGGTTGACTGCTGTTTTCCACTCCCACATGGCAACAGTGAGTGTCTTAGTGTGATGGCAGTTGTATGTCCTTGTTATACTTCTCTGGCTTAATCCTGAATGACGCTTAATGAGTAACTGTGAATGACACTCCTTCTGTTCACTGTCCTCACCTCTACACTGAAGCTCAGAGGAACAACTGTGTGTTTTTCCTCCTTGCACTAAACTTTCCTCACTGGGGAAGCTCACCCCAGTAAAAAGTCAAAGGTCAGGTTCATGGCTACCGTGGATTGATGGAGGCCCGGCAGCAGGCACAGAAGAAGGTGGTCATGACTTAACACCGTCATGACGCAGGCTAAGTATCATTCTGCGAGGATGGTGGTCCTAGACCTGGACGTTCAAAGATTTCGGACAATATATTATGAACCTTGGTCGCTGGGGTAAGAGAACACCTCTAGATACCGTTAATTGTTAGTGTGATCTCGACACATATAAATCACTAGTCATATGTGTTCTCTTTTCCCCAGTTACGGGAGATATTAACACGTGAATCTTTGGGAGTCCGAGTCTTGGTTTCCATACAGCAACTACTCTCACCACTCTTCTTTAATGCTCCAAATCATTTGGCATAAAATTTAACTTTAATAAATTGTTTGAAACATATTTGCGCAACTTTTGATATATTGACGCATATAGGGTTATAGATAGATATTGAGATGAGAATTATATCGAATAACATATTTCTCAATTATTGAGACAAGCATAAACTAACACCTGGACGGATGACGCCTTTGTATGGCACCAGGAAACTGCCAGGCTCAGGCGTTCGTCGTATTGTGGATTGTAATCTGTGTGTTACTCCCTCAGGGCCAAACCACCCAGAGGGGACGGCCAAGCCAATGACATCTATATTCACCTGGAGAGGCCACCACAACTGAAAGAGAACCAGGTGGTGTTCTATCCTCGCCACCTCGCCGGATTCGGTTTTGAGAAGGGCAAGGACCCCGAGTCACCCGAGTACCAGATCCACGACGCCACCAATGAGAACCTTGGGCAAAGTGACAAGCACAGTAAGCACGACAAGCATAGCAAGCACTCACACGTTGACCACCAGCACCACAGCAACAAGGGCAGCAGCGGCGGCAGTGGCAAGAAACTCAGAGCCACTGCCCCTGCACAGGAGGTTATTACCGCCCCTCCAACTCCCCCTCCCCATGTCCTTCATCCACGACCCAGCTTCCCACCCCCTCCTCCTCCCCAGTTCTCAGTAAACTCACATCGTCTCTCTCCCAGTTCTTACCCTCCCCCGCCTCCCCCTTCATCCTACAACGAGTACCCTTCTCCTCCTCATCCTGGGCACTACCCCAACCGTCCCCTGGCTTATCCTCCTCGCTACTCCCGCTAAGGATAATCTCTAACATCCTCCCCCTACACTCCCTTTTGTAAATATCCCTCCATGCTGAGTCCTGCTGACCCCTTTGACAAGTCCCGAGAAAAAAATCTTTCATATGTGCTTTAGTCCCGGTGCTCCTTACTCCTTACCATCCTTTCAGCCTCAAGCCTTAGATAAATCCTACGCTCCGTTTGCCTTTATCCTTGCTAGTTTCTAAATCATAGCTGATATACTACAGCCTCATCATAGAGTCCGGTATTCAAACGTCTTATACCCATTCTAGGAACCCGAGAATGCTATCTTCCAATGCCCTCCCGAGGAATCCAAAATCTTTCCCTACCTCGCTCACTCAGATGCCATCCTATGGAAGAAGCGAGTATAGAATCCTTCCACGTCATCCTTGAACCCACCCTAAGCGTTATCTTACCTAACCTAACCTAACCTTCCAGGATATTACGCATCCTACGAGACTCTTAGTAACAACGTCCATCCTAGGACTTTCATTACGTACATCCTGCTTTTTTATCCTCAAATTCCTGGAATATTCTTGGTCTCCATGCAATCCTTCCCTATCCTCCTTCAAGCAATCTTGCAACACTTGCACCATTCCTCAAGCACCCCAACCATGCTCTTATCGTCCAAGCAATCCCATAACGCCTTCATCCTCTAAGCAATCCTGCAAGACCCTCATCCTCCAAGCAATTTAATACCGCATTCATCCTTCAAGCATTCCTGGAACGCCTCTATCCTCAAAGCAATCCTACCCCACCGTCATCCTTAAAGCATTCCCAAAACACCCTCATCCTCCAAGCAATCCCATATCGCCTTCATCCTTCAAGCAATGCTGCAAGACCCTCATCCTCCCTGCAATTTAATAACGCATTCATCCTTCAAGCATTCCTGCAGCGCCCTTATCCTCCAAACAATCCTACGCCGCCCTCATCCTTTAATGCAATCCCACAAGACCTTCATCCTCCAAGCAATCATGCAAGACCCCATCCCCCAAGCAATTTAATAACACATTCATCGTTTAAGCAATCCTGAGTCATCTGCATCCTCCACAACACTTGCATCCTCCTCCCAAAAATCCTGAAGGAACTGCATCCTTCTCCGAGCTACCCTGCAAGGCCTCCATCATCCTCCAAGCTACCCTACAAGGCCTCCCTCAACCTCCAAGAACTCCCCAAGGGCCTTCATCATCCTCCAAGCAATCCTACATGGACTCCAACATCCTCCAAGCAATCCTACATGGCCCCCATCGTCCTCCAAGCAGTCTTCGAGGCCTCCAACTCCCAAATCATCCTGCAACACCCCCCTCATCCTTCATGTCATCCTCAATGGTTGGACCGGCAAGAATAAGGGCATACACAAGAGGGCATTTTATACTATGTGATATTAATATTTACAAATATTTATAATATGTATACTATGTCAAGAATTATGTACACATGCACATAATGTATATTGTGGTAATTTATGAATCTAATATACGGTGCTGAAAAAGGTGAAAATCTTTAAAAAAAATTATATATATCTTGTATAATAAACGTGTGATTGTTGCCATGAGTAGTCGCGCTGAGTGAAAGAATGTCATAAGTGTCGAAGTTCTATTTAACAATATGCACTAATAAACCTTAGTGAAAATAGTCCTTTGTGTCCCTGTTCCCTCTTCTTCAGTGATCTATCTCTCTATCATAGAGTTGGCCACCAGAGACTTCCTCTACAAAATAATATTTTGGGGCTATTATCATTATTACCCGATTTGGCAACACTTATAATTTCATTTCTCCTTGACAGTCTTTCTCCGACCTTCTCTCCTACCTTTCATTTTGCTCATTGATAATTCCATAATTTTCCTTTAATAATGTCGGCGCGCATACTGCAGGCTCCTCAGTTTTCATTAAGGAGCCACAGATGGGTGGTGCACGGTGGCAGGGCATGGGGAAAGTGCCACACCGAGAGTAGGAAGAAGGACGAGGAGTTGCAGGGGATGGATAACAACATCCTGACCACCACCCACAGGACCATTTCCCACCCTCACACTAGTCACCAGCTGAGGCAGCTCAGTGTCCAGTACGATCACGTGAGGCAGCTAGCCAGTATCCGTTGGTGGATGCAAGAGCTGAGAGACCGGTACCAAGAGCTACAGACGGACATCCAGCACGAGAGCAAACGTCTGCATGAACAAAAGTGGGCCGCCTTGGTGTGGGAGGCTGCCAACAATTACCGCGATTTTGCTGCTTTCTGGATCGGGATCAAGCGACTGATGGGTTCCACCTCTAGCACGGTCTCTTACCTGCTCGACCAAAACAACGTTTAAATAATCAAGGAGGAAAACCAAGAACAATTACATCAGCGATATTTACGGAAGATCCTTACTATTAGTGAACAGGAGAACGAGGGCTTCGACAGGGAGTTTGTGGAGGACATTTCAGGTCAGTTGCAGGACCATCAGAAACCTGCCCAGCCGCTACTACGGACTGACTTCACTAGACTGGTGGACAAAAGCTACCTGGCGGAGCGCATAGTTCCTGCAGAAGTGTCAGCCGTCATAAAAGGGTTTAAAACAAATCACCTGGGAAAAGCCATATTAACAAGAAGATCCAGGCCCAACTCCCCGACAGCACGATAGAGAGGCTTGCTCATATATGCAGTGCCTACCTTGCCTCTGGGTACCTACCTAAGATATTCAAAATCGCCTCATACCAAAAGCAGGAAAGCCTCCAAAGATAGTCAAAAACTTTCGACTAGAGGTACCTGCCAAAATCCTCGAAAAAAAATAGTAAACAAGCGGTTGCGGATGTATCTAGAGGACGAAGACGTGCATAATCCCCGCCAGTTCGGCTTCCGCCAGTACCGAGCCACATCCACCGCCATAACCCAGGCCTACGAGCAGATTGCCAACGCCATGACTGGCCACCTGCCGTACAACGTGGTACTGAGGGACGTCAGCAAGACGTTTGACAAAGTTTGGCACGCGGGGCTGCAGTATAAGATCACACAACTGGGGCTACCCGAAAACCTGACGCGCCTGCTGTGCAACTTCATTACGGACCGTAGAGCCAAAATCAAGATGCAAGAACATTGTGGAGAAGAATTCTCACTCTCGAGCAGCGTGCCTTAGGGCTCTAGTCTCTCACCAACCCTTTACACGGTGTACACGGCTGACCTGTTACCCCCAATCGTCGGTAGCGAGTACGTCATTTATGCCGACGATGTAATATACTGTAGATCGTCACCTGCCCAGGAAGGTCCACGGCAAGGGTGGCGTGACTCACTGCTCGGGCAATAGAGGGTATCTCGGAGTATTAAAATAAATGGAAAACAAAAACAAACTAAGCAAAATTTGAGGTCATACCCAAAGCCAAATTCAAGCCGGCGCCATTGATGATCGACGACGAAGAGATTGAGTACTCTAAACAAGGCAGGCTGCTCGGCCTCATCATCTCACGGACGGGCATCATTCCCCACGTGAAGGACAGTCTAAAGAATGCCAAAGTTGCCGCCGCCAAATTAAAACGTTTTAAACTGATGCCTGAGAAGATACAAGTCCACCTGTACAAGGCTCTGGTGAGGCCTGTGTTGGAGTACCCACACATACCACTCGTCACACTCGGGAAGACCAGACTACAACAACTACAGAGTTTCCAAACCAGTGTCTGAGGTCAGCCAGTGGCCAAGTGCCACCCTACCAGGAGTCAGTGAAAACCATCCACGTGAGAAATAAAACGGACGTCCTCAACGTCAGGTTCCATCGTCTAGGGAAGAAGGTTTGGGACAAGCTCCTGTAAGACCCTCACAGACAGACCACCTACGAGGGGAAGACATCAACGGAGGCCGACCCCACGCCTGGTGGCCACTGAGTCTGCCCGCACTACAACAACCCAACCCGCGACCCATCTATGTCCGCCACAGTGATCCACCTTAGATTAAAACTTAGATGATGTAAGATCACATTTAACAAGTCACAATCTAGTGAGTCCATAACGTAATACAGTAATATGATCTTACTAAACATGTAATTATAAATCAAACTAGTCATTGTCAACCAAAGTAATCATTGTGCATCCTCATCCTAAATCCTAGGTTAGCTTAGTTAGCCAACAACTCTGTAATATGTAAAACAAGGGGTGTTGTCCCCCTCTGCGTAACTCATTAAACTTCTTTTCCAACCTTTCCCCTCACGACTATCTGTCGTGACTTCTCTATCCCTCATGTCTGGCTGTGTCTTGAGCCCCAGCATGCCTTCCATCCTTTTCCCAACTTAATGGAAAAAATAAAGTAATTCGTGCAATGTATAAAAATTTTGCTCCAAGGATATGACATTTAATTTTGTGTAAGATTACATTATCTGTTCTTTTAATGTAGTACAGTGTTCATGTCAAAATGAACTATTTCATTGATGTAAAAATAATTATTGTATTGTTATAACATTTATAACTTTTTGTAAACCCCAGAAATGGATGACAAAAGTGAGGGTGGGAGTAGTATACTACCCTGTCCTTATGATGTCATAGTTTTATGGTCAATAAGGTATTTCAATTTCAACATAGCAATCCTCTCTCCCTGCTTCAACCTTCTCCCCCTGCTTCAACCCTTCCCCCTGCCTTTGCTCTCTCCCCTGCTTCAACCCTCCCCCCTGCCTTTACTCTCTCCCCTGCCTCAACCCTCCCCCCTGCCTTTGCTCTCTCCACTGCTTTAACCCTCTCCCCCTGCCTTTGCTCTCTCCCCTGCTTCAACCCTCCCCCCCTGCCATTGCTTTTTTCCCCTGGTTTAACCCTTCCCTGCCTTGTTTCCTTCCCCCTGCTTTAACCCTCTCCCCTGCCTTTGCTCTCTCCCCTGCTTTATCCCTCTCCCTGCCTTTGTTTCCTCTCCTGCTTCAACCCCTCTCCCTGCCTTTTGTTTCTCTCTCCTCTGCTTTTATCCCTCCCCCTGCCTTTGCCTTCTCCCCCTGCCTCAACCCTTCTGCTCTTTGCTCTCCCCCTGCTTTAACCCTCTCCCCTGCCTTTTGCTTCTCTCCCTTGCTGCTCTCCCCTGCTTCAACTCTCCCCTGCCTTTGCTCTCTCCCCTGCTTCAACTCTCCCCCTTCCTTTGCTCTCTCCTGCTTCAACCTTTCCCCTGTCTTTGCTCTCTCCCCTGCTTAAGTTTCTCCCTGCTTTAACCCTCCCCCTGCCTTTGCTTCTCCCCTGCTTTAACTCCTCTCCCACTGCCTTTTGCTCTCCCCTGCTTTTAACCCCCCCTTTGTCTGCTCTCCCCTGCTTTAACCCTCTCCCCCCCTGCCTTTACTCTCTCCCTTGCCTCAACCCTCTCCCCCTGCCTTTGCTCTCTCCCCTGCCTCAACCCTCTCCCCTTGCCCTCTCCCCTGCTTTAACCCTCTCCCCCTACCTTTGCTCTCTCCCCTGCCTCAACCCTCTCCCCCTGCCTTTGCTCTCTCCCCTGCTTTAACCCTCTCTCCCTGCCTCATCCCTGCTTCCGGTATTGGGTGGAGTTAACGCTGTCTCTCGTGTGCACTTCGACGCCCGTACACACGCACGTACATGTACACACGGCAGCGGGGGAGGAGGAAAGTGGCCGTAATGGCCATATCCTCGACGGTGCAGAGGTCGCGGCTGGGACATAAATACAGCGGTGGAGGAAGGTGAGGCATTAGTTCCATCCAAGACACCAGTCAGCCCACAAGCCAGGTGCACAGAGAATCATGGTAAGCTGCCATATCCTCCCTCACATACTTCATGTCAACACACACTCACAACATAGTCTCTCTTACTTATCCAAACTCATATATTTCTATTTTTCCTGTGTTGCTATTGTAAAGGAACAATACAGCAACTAACAGAAGGCGATAAGGATACTTTAACTTGATTAATTCTTTTCTCCAGTACGCCCAAATATTTACATGGCAATCAAGAGAGTCATCTTGATAAAGATATTGTGTTTGTCGAAGTGAAGGTTATGCGAGAAGTGCCAGTCCTTCCTCATGAACTGATCATGAGGCAAGTTAGTGGTCCGTGTGAGTCTCAGCCGAGGTAAACAAACACCAAATCCTTAGTCAAGTTACGCGTTCCTTTCACACGGACCAGATACCTCACGATTCTGTCGTTGTGGGATCTTTAATCATCGTTTCCAAAGATCTAAGCTTTATGTTGAGTGTTATACGAACGATCATGTCATCCATATAGTTTTAAGCACCATTTCCACCGTTGTTATAGATTCTGTTTATATATTGAATCCTTTCAGATCGATTCAATCATTTTCAGTAATTTTAAACAATATTTCTGTGGTGTTTAAAATATCTACGATTCATCCATCATTGAATTACGAAAACACCGTTTTTGTGAACCTAAATAGATATTATACTAATGGCACTACAGGATCAGGTAATTTATGGTATATTTAAACACAGTTTCTTTGACTTGGGCCTTAACATTATTACCTATTTGTTCTTTTTCATAAATTAATGGTAAGGTGGAAGACCCTTGACTGATTATATATTGTTCTTGACAGTCTTGCAGGATAATAAGCTTATTAACAATACTAATATATTGCTAAAAAGAAACCCACAAAAAATAGAGCGGATTTTAAACAGTTGATAAAATAATTAATAATTAATTAATGGATGTGTTGCACAGTATGTACGGTACAGTAAGTAGCTCAGCAACGTTCACAACAGCTCGCACTTCCTCCCCCAAGTATAAGGAGGATGTTTCCTTGCGTGAAACTCTTGAGACGCTTCCCCCTGCGCCGTGTGGTCCATCTTCCTTATCACGTCACGTGTACTGCTTGGGTATGAGTACCTACAAACACATAATTTTTATTTTATAAAGTCTGCATACAAGTTTAAATTCTTTCAGCATGTATACAATATACATACAGTGTAGGTATACAAGCAATGTGGTACCTAGCCAGTGCAGGTATACAATCAGTGATAAACAGTAGGAAGTAACACACACACAGACACACTTCCTCATTTAGTGTATTATTTGGGTTGCGAGTCGACCTTATGGGTAAGGTGGGAGGAGGGAAGGAGAGCGTACGTACGTGAGATCCTTTCTTTATTTCCAAATAAGTTTAGATTTAGATATAATGTACAAGTATTTCCATACAATACAGTGTTTGTTATAAAGGCTCTGTACTAATACAGTCTTGTAATAATGAACAGGTACAGTGATTTCCATACATCTGTATGGTATATTATCTTTGATATGATAGACTGCAATAGTAAGCTTATTTGTTGTTCCGCATCTTCACTATTCCGATTTCTCTACTAAAGCCAACCTTCAAAAGCGTTTCACACTTATGTAGTTTCCGAGATTCTCGTGCAGACACACACACAAACACATAGACATACTTCTTTGGTTTATATATATAGATAATTTATTTCTTTATTTATTTCACGCATTACGACCCGGTGTCAGCAAACCTGGTAGTGAATGAACGACTCAGGGAAGTCCCCCCCAACCCTTCGAACAATGTTCGTTCTTCACCACAATCAAAGTCTCCAAATCTCCTTTCGTGTTATGAACGATACTCTCTCAGTTTTGCAAGTCTATTTGGTAATTGTGTGATAGTTGTCTGTTAACTTGCATTTGCAAGTGTTTTGTGAGAAGTATGTAATTGTTTGTGGCAATTCTATGTTTGTCTGAGGTAATCCTGTTATTGCTTGTGTTCATTTTGTATTTTTTTGGGTATTAACTTTGTGATTATCTCTCCCACCCCGCCATCATCGTCACAGTGGAAGGTTGTATTGCTAGTTAGCTTCGCGAGTGCTGTTCTGCAGACAGCAGAGGCGCAGAGCTTACCCTTCCCGGGCTTCATCTCCGGCGAGAGTGTCAGGTACGTATCTTCCCTGTATCCTCTCCTCTCCCACCCCCCTCCCAACAGATCCTCCTCACCATCCCAAGGAAAACGTATCAACTCCCTATGGCTCATCCCAACTCACTCCAGGCTGTTATTTCAACTCCTCGAAGATTTCCTTACAACTCGGTGTAGATCACACCCCATTCTCGCTCTCATATCACACCCTGCCATCTTTATTCGCCCCTTCATCATCCTACCTACAGGAGGTTCACTTGTACCCCTCCTCTTCCTCTATTTGTTTACATCTTCGTATCCTTCATTTAAACTATCACATCCTTATAGAACCCCCCCCCTCTCTTTCTCTCGCTTCCCTTACTACAATTTACACCTTTTATCCTTCCGTTCCTGTGTTCCTTAATAGTCATTGCCGTCACCTGTCCACCCTAAACCGAAAAAGACAGACGTCCTGTCACATCCTTCACAGCATCCTCTCTTTCTCTTTCTCTCGATCACACCTCCCTTAGTATCCTGTCTTGATTCGCTCCCAAATGATGCTCATGAGAATATTCTTATTTCCGGATGGTTCTTAGCTAATATGTTCTTCCTTTATCTTTCCAACAAAATATTGATTATTTGTCTCAACTTAAGTGAAAATGAAGTAGATTTAGACGAGTTAATTATACAATAATGCACAATGAAGTGTGGTCCTGTTTTTTTATTATTGTGAATGACAATTGATTTGCAAGAAACATTCACGCATGCGCCATACTTGTTTACGTCATTCAGTGTATAGCTAGAGAGGTGCAGCAGAGGATAGGGACGAGTCTGTACTTGTTTTTAATGGGGAATTATAGAAATCGTGGAGTGGTTACCATCCATTCTAGACACTAAAAAGATCACAAAGTTTTGGATACAACTCATGTAGTGTAGAAGGCCAAGTGGCTTTGGGTGCGTTCATGACCTCTACAACTCATACTGTAGCTACACTGCCAGGGTTGACTGCTGTTTTCCACTCCCACATGGCAACAGTGAGTGTCTTAGTGTGATGGCAGTTGTATGTCCTTGTTATACTTCTCTGGCTTAATCCTGAATGACGCTTAATGAGTAACTGTGAATGACACTCCTTCTGTTCACTGTCCTCACCTCTACACTGAAGCTCAGAGGAACAACTGTGTTTTTCCTCCTTCTTGCACTACACTTTCCTCACTGGGGAAGCTCACCCCAGAAAAAAAGTCAAAGGTCAGGTTCATGGCTACCGTGGATTGATGGAGGCCCGGCAGCAGGCACAGAAGAAGGTGGTCATGACTTAACACCGTCATGACGCAGGCTAAGTATCATTCTGCGAGGATGGTGGTCCTAGACCTGGACGTTCAAAGATTTCGGACAATATATTATGAACCTTGGTCGCTGGGGTACGAGAACACCTCTAGATACCGTTAATTGTTAGTGTGATCTCGACACATATAAATCACTAGTCATATGTGATCTCTTTTCCCCAGTTACGGGAGATATTAACACGTGAATCTTTGGGAGTCCGAGTCTTGGTTTCCATACAGCAACTACTCTCACCACTCTTCTTTAATGCTCCAAATCATTTGGCATAAAATATAACTTTAATAAATTGTTTGAAACATATTTGCGCAACTTTTGATATATTGACGCATATAGGGTTATAGATAGATATTGAGATGAGAATTATATCGAATAACTTATTTCTCAATTATTGAGACAAGCATAAACTAACACCTGGACGGATGACGCCTTTGTATGGCACCAGGAAACTGCCAGGCTCAGGCGTTCGTCGTATTGTGGATTGTATCTGTGTGTTACTCCCTCAGGGCCAAACCACCCACAGGGGACGGCCAAGCCAATGACATCTATATTCACCTGGAGAGGCCACCACAACTGAAAGAGAACCAGGTGGTGTTCTATCCTAGCCACCTCGCCGGATTCGGTTTTGAGAAGGCCAAGGACCCCGAGTCACCCGAGTTCCAGATCCACGACGCCACCAATGAGAACCTTAGGCAAAGTGACAAGCACAGTAAGCACCATCATAACTAGCACTCACACGATGACCACCAGCACCAGAGCAACAAGGGCAGTAGCGGCGGCAGTGACAAAAAACTCAGAGCCACTGCCCCTGCACAGGAGGTTATTAACGTCCCTCTAACTTCCCCTACCCCTGTCCTTCATCCACGACCCAGCTACCCCCCCCTCCCCCTCCCCAGTTCCCAGTAAAATCACATCGTCTCTCTCCCAGTTCTTACCCTCCCCCGCCTCCCCCTTCATCCTACAACGATTACCCTTCTCCTCCTCATCCTGGGCACTACCCCAACCGTTCCCTGGCTTATCCTCCTCGCTACTCCCGCTAAGGATAATCTCTAACATCCTCCACCTACACTCCCTTTTGTAAATATCCCTCCATGCCGAGTCCTGCTGACCCCTTTGACAAGTCCCGAGAATAAAATCTTTCATATGTGCTTTAGTCCCGGTGCTCCTTACCCCTTACCATCCTTTCAGCCTCAAGCGTTAGATAAATCCTACGCTCCGTTTGCCCTTATCCTTGCTAGTTTCTAAATCATAGCTGATATACTACAGCCTCATCATAGAGTCCGGTATTCAAACGTCTTATACCCATTCTAGGAACCCGAGAATGCTATCTTCCAATGCCCTCCCGAGGAATCCAAAATCTTTCCCTACCTCGCTCACTCAGATGCCATCCTATGGAAGAAGTCAGTATAGAATCCTTCCACGTCATCCTTGAACCCACCCTAAGCGTTATCTTACCTAACCTAACCTAACCTTCCAGGATATTATGCATCCTTCGAGACTCTGAGTATCAACGTCCATCCAAGGACCTTCATTACGTACATCCTGCTTATTTATCCTCAAATTCCTGGAATATTCTTGGTGTCCATGCAATCCTTCACTATCCTCCTTCAAGCATTCTTGCAACATTTCCACCATTCCTCAAGCACCCCAACCATGCTCTCATCCTCCAAGCAGTTCCACAACGCATTCATCTTCCAAGCAATCTTACAAGACTCCATCCTACCAGCACTTTAATAATGCATTCGTCCTTCAAGTTTTCCTGCGATGGGTGTATCGTCCAAGCAACCTACGCCGCCGTCATCCTTAAGGTTATCCCATAAGACCCTCATCCTCCAAGTAATAATAGAAGGCCCCCATCATTCGTCAAACAATCCTACAAGGCCTTCTATCCTTCACCCAATCCTACACCGAGCTCATTCTTCAAACAATCCTGCAACAACCCCATCCTCCAAGCAATTTAAGAACGCACACATCCTTCAAGTTATACTGTAAGATCCCCATCCTCCACAACACTTCCATCATCCTCCAAGCAATCCTACATGGCCCCCATCGTCCTCCAAGCAGTCTTCGAGACCTCCAACACCCAAATCATCCTGCAACACCCCCCCTCATCCTTCATGTCATCCTCAATGGTTGGACCGGCAAGAATAAGGGCATACACAAGAGGGCATTTTATACTATGTGATATTAATATTTACAAATATTTATAATATGTATACTATGTCAAGAATTATGTACACATGCACATAATGTATATTGTGGTAATTTATGAATCTAATATACGGTGCTGAAAAAGGTGAAAATCTTTAAAAAAAATTATATATATCTTGTATGATAAACGTGTGATTGTTTTCATGAGTAGTCGCGCTGAGTGAAAGAATGTCATAAGTGTCGAAGTTCTATTTATACAATATGCACTAATAAACCTTAGTGAAAATAGTCCTTTGTGTTCCTGTTCCCTCTTCTTCAGTGATCTATCTCTCTAGATTATCCTAGAGTTGGCCACCAGAGACTTCCTCTACAAAATAATATTTTGGGGCTATTATCATTATTACCCGATTTGGCAACACTTATAATTTCATTTTTCCATTACAGTCTTTCTCCGACCTTCTCTCCTACCTTTCATTTTGCTCATTGATAATTCCATCATTATTCTATGTTGTGTATTAGTCAGGTAAAATTATTTGATATATAATTGGCGATATGGTATCAGCACTGTGTGGGTCACTATTGCACCAACTGAGCCAGTGAGTGGAGAGAGGCAGACGAGCCTGGCTGGTGAAAGTGTGGTTCAGGTTAGTTAAGGCTCTGGTTGTTTATATTTCATTTGTTGTTTTGCTTGTCTTTATAAATACGCCCCTAAATTTATTTTATTAAGAAATTATGCAGTGTGTGATTCCTCCTAACTATAAGCTAATCTGAGGCTTATTAAGAACCTGGTGGATATAATATTAGTTTATATAATATTTACCCTGCTTGTTGTTGTGACCACTAATGGCAAGGGTTTGTTTCTTTATGGATTTGTACTTGTTCAAAATATCACAAGTCAACGCGGGCCCTTCGTGCCAGGTGAAAGTTTGAACGTTCGTGCTTGGCTAGTGAGCAACCACCGTCCGGCTGACAGCGTACAGCAACAAAATGGTTAATTAATGCCTTCCTAAAGAAACCATCGACATGGGACCAGGTTTGTTCCACTCTACGAATTTTTTGTGATTTTTCCACCAAGTTTGATGAAAAACAATTGTGCCGTTTCGGCTGCCCAGAACAGACACACACACACACACATGCCTAGTCCTATAGTGTATTAGATTAGATAGTATATTAGATTCCTGGTTTTTATTCCAGTCCGACTAAAAACATGCAGGATTGTCTACAGTACAGTCCAAATAAATTCGTAAATTGTCATGTAATCGGGTGTTGCTGAAAGGTTTCGCTAGAGCCAATTACCAATTATAGACTAGCAAATATCTCTTCTCATTGGGCGATCTAATATGATAAATGGAATTTCGTCTTGATAGCCATGAAGTCGATATAATATTGGGCTACCTTATATAGTTTGAATATACCTGTATATTGTAGGAGTGGAAGTAAATTAGTTATTAATTATTTTCTGAATTAAACATATTTTGGCAACTCTTGCTGTCATATCTCGTTAACAAATCTGTAATAGGTATACCTGTTGCTTGTAGAATATGAAGCTATTAGGAACATTTCAATACAGTTAATTAAGTAAGGATCAGAATAGTTAACTTAATCTCCAACTCAAACATACATACTTATAATGATTAGCGTCACTTCATCCTTCGGTAAAGTTATTGGCCAGGCGTCGTATTTCGACACCATTTATCAGAGTTTGATAAACGGTGATGATGTATAATTATACTGTAATAGGTTTTAGAGGCTTAAATAACATCTTTAGTATTAAAAAACAAAATACTTGTTCTATAAATTATGCAACGGCTGCATTTATCAACCGAGAGAACAGGCAAATGGCTCTTCCGAATTAAACCACAATTGATTGATGCAGGAACAGACCACTGAATTAGCCAAACTAAGTTCTGGCATTTTATAAGGTTGTCCCACTACTGTACCTCAAACTATCAAAAACTAAGCAGTCTTATTAAGGAGGTAGAGAACAGTGGTGGGTAGTTGAGAGATGTTAAAGCTCCATACAATGCCTCAACCCAAAACCTTTAAAATTGGCACATATATAATTGATACTTAATGTTTTATAAACGAAATTGAAAGTGTTTTAAAGCTTATGTTATTTTTTAATAAATACATTACCTTGACAAAAACTTGACTATGGAAATTCTTTTAGTTTTAAGTTAATATTGTTCTAATCCCTTCACTACGGGTCTGCCAGTTTAAATATTTTATTTGGCTAACGGCAGAGAGAGGGCCTCGTACACAAGTGGTTAAGTTGGTGATCTTCATCGATTTCATAAATGCTTACAATGTTATCAGGCGGTACAGTTATCAGCTTTTACTAAATGCAACATTTTGTCTTCCATTATTATTGTACACATTTGACGGCAGCAACCTTTCCCGTGTATGCCACGATGTAATTCTGAAGGAAAAGGTGGTGCCAACCATCCTTTGATTACCTTATTATGCAGTGTTTAAATAAATTTTCGCCTACACTAAACTTACCCTTCAAATTATGTTCGTTAATTAGCCCATCAGATTCAGTAGTTTGTCTTGAAAGGTGACAATATGCTATATGGTATATACTGTAGATCTTTGCCAAGTAGCTACGTTGTTCATGGAACTGGAATTAATGTATATAAGTGACGACCTGTGGTGTAGTGGTTAGCATGCTTGCTTTGCGATCTAGAGTACCCGAGTTCGACTTCTGGGCAGGTGAAAATTATGTTCCTGATTGATGATGATGATGGGATGGAGAGAAGAGAGCCATTGGCTCAGGAAGGTGGAAGACGGTGTAGGAGGAAGGTAAAGGTTAGGAAGTGGGAAATAAAGAGGGAGATTGATAGCAGGTGGGCTGTCCACCTTACGGGGACGGGGTTAAGTCTGCCATGTCAGCATTTCAGGTCCACTAAAGCAAGGGATGGGAAGGGAAGCCAAGCTTTTGTCGTTTGCCTCCATTTTCCAAGCAGTAACTGGGAACCTGGATGTAATTCGTGTTTCGGGGTAATGGTTAGCCAGTGCGGCTGTTGAGTTGTCCGATCTTGGATCATTCCTTGATACTGGGTCATAGAGCTCGTTAACATATAGGGTGTGGTTGTTATGTTGGCGGCAGCTTCTACACCTTAAAGAAACTAACGCTTCGGTCGTCATACATATTATTTTAATGTATATCCATAAACAGATATTAAAGAATTTAACAGTAGTATGGGGAAAAGTGGTTTTATGACAATATGACAAAGGAAGATACCCAAAAAGAAGAGTTAATAGAAGTCAATAAGCATCTTGGAGTGTTCATTACTAGATCTAGCTGACCCCCGCCCCAGTAAAGGTCACAGCCTCAGATTGAAGCCACAAGTTCATAAAATTGCCAGGACATTTTATTTATTATTATTATTTCTTCTTTTATGGAGACACTTGTGAACTCTTGGAGCTATCTGCCAGACAGTGTTGTGACGGCACTGAGTGTGAGCTCTTAACTAGACTTGACCCAAACTGACGCAGATACAGACACATTCTGGAGCAGTGTATCCCCATTTCTTGTCAAAAGTACATTACTTTATATTACTGTATATATAGACTTGGAGAGTAATGTGACCGTCCGCCCAAGCAGTTAACAGGCCACTCAGTGGTGAAGATGATAAAGTACTCTATATAGTAAAGTTACAATACCATGTCAGGGTCATTTTCTTATTAAAAGTATAGGAAGTGGTGGATTTATGGAGGGAGAAACCTTGGGTGCTGCCTTTTTGTGTGGAAAAACTATTAGTGCTCCCCCACAATTTTAAGTTGAGACCCTAAAACAACCCTTTTTTTTTATTAAATATTTGAGGTACCCTTTCCAGCCCCAAATCTTCTCCCCCTTGCCCCAACCCTCTTCCCCTGCCTTAACCTTCTCCCCCTGCTTCAACTCCCCCCGCCCATGCCTCAACCCCCTTCCCTTGCCTCTACTCTCCCCTTGCCCCTACTATAGACCCCTGCCTAACCCTCCCCTCCTGACTCAACTCTCTTCCTTTGCTCAGTCCTCTGCCTCAACTCTCTTCACCTGCTTCAACCTTCTCCCTCTGATTCAATCCTCTCATCCTGCTTCAACCCCCTTCCATTCTCTCTACTCTCCCCCCTGCCTATGTTATCTCCCCTTGCCTTCACCCTCTTCCCCTGCATCAACTCTTTCTCCCTGTCTCAACCCTTTACCCGTACCTCAACCCTCTCCCCCTTCCTCATTTCCCTCCTCCTTGTTACCACTATAAATTACAACATGTTGTAACCGCTAGAGTAAAGGAACCTCTGGAAGTATATCCCTCAAGCAGATGTGAACAAACTAAATGTAAAGTGTGTGGCCAGACATATGGCCACACACTCCAACACTACGTCCTCGACTGTGTGAAGATAGAACCTTTAAGGGACAGGTCAAGCACATTGTGTGTCAAATGGTACAGCTCTCTATCTCTAATGACAGTATTAAGAATGTATCCTTTCTTTTGTACTCAGCAGCTGTACCATTTCCTATGTATAGAGCCACACACACACTTCTTAAACACCTCTCACGCAAATGTGAATAACAAAGTGTGTGGCCATTCATAATGCCTCACGCAGTCGCGAATCGGTTACTCACTATGTACGGCATTATTGAACTAAACAAAGAATGAATTTAAAATACTCCGTAACATTAAATGCCACAATATCCTGACCACTGGGGACTTATACACACTCTTTGTAAACTCTACTCTGCCATCCTTTTGCACTACCGCTCAAAGGATGAGTATGGGGTGCATAATAAACTAGCTGTAGTAATTGGCAAAATTAAATAATTATTTAAAGTTAATCCCTCTCCCCCTGCTTCAACCCTCTCCCCCTGCTTCAACCCTCTCCCCCTGCTTCAACCCTTTCCACTGCCTCATTCCTCTCTCCCTGGCTCATCCCTCTCCACTTGCCTCAACCCTCATGCCTTGCCTTAACCCTCTACCCCTGGCTCATCCCTCTCCCCCTGCCTCATCCCTTGACCCTTGCCTCAACCCTTTTCCCCTGCCTCATCCTTCTCCCCTCGCCTCAACCCTCTCCCCTCCGGATGGGCGGAGGTTAGGGAATTTTAACGGAGTTGCGGTGTACCCGAAAATGCTATATTATACCCAGCGGCTTGACACAATTACTCAAGGTACTGGATGTTTGAACTCTAATTCTGAAACAGAATGGTAATATCATAAATATATATCTAGATCTTATTCAGGCTTTCGACAGCGTACCTCACGAAAGGCTGAGAATTAAACTGGAAGGTTCTGGGATTCTGAGAAGTA